TCTCTGGGTAGTGTTAAATGGGCAACCCAGTGCCTCGTAAACTCATGCTGCATTTGAGGACAGGACTGAGGGAAGGAGCTGTCGCTCTCTCCTCGATGTCAGTGTATTACCGAGCGAGATAGAAGCCGAGGTGACTAAAGCCAAATTTACTACATTTGGGGACAAAAAAACACTATAAAGTTAAAGCGCAAATGTTTATTTCTCAATGGAAACAGGCAACAGACATTGCGGTGGTGACTACTTTTAAAGGGAAAAAGGAGGTCATTTTCAGAGTTTTTAAAAGGCCTACCCAGCATTGCTTTTACTCTTAAATGACGGTTTCAGTTGGTTTCTATAAAAGAGGAAATAAAAACAGGCAATTACCATTACCTCTGGACAGATTTTTTCTTTCCCCCTCGATTCCCCACTTTGGCACTGACAGTCCTGGGGCAAGTTGATTTAACTCTAGGGGTCAAATAAATGCCAAAAAGCACTCTAGAGTCTATCAAAAGCGTATGAATTTACTTAACCTAGTGAGTAGCATGGCAATGTGAAAACTCTCTTAGAGGGCTCATCAGAGCCACAGAAGTTTGATGGCTACGATTGCAAGAGCTCCTCGAGCCCCTTTGAAGGGGCACTACAGGAAATCTAAAATTACTTTTCTAGCTAAATAAATAAAAAATTAAAGTAGATTGATTCTGTTAGCAATATTTTCAACATTTGTCGAGCTGTTTCCGTTCTTTTTGGTGGAGCCTTGTCGTTGCATTGGATGGTTGCCGGTAAAATCTGAGACTCATCGTCCGTAAAGCAATGACTTAAGAAAAAGAGCGATTTTAAATGATATGAAGGAAGCTTTGTAATCGGTTCATAGAATTATTTCTTGAAAACCTTAAAAAATGGCCAAAAATATTGTAGACTTGCAGAAATACCTTCCAACATATTTGGATGTGAAATAACCAGCTGATAAAATAAACCTTGAAAAGAAAAAAGGTAATTATCTCAACTAAATAGCTAGGTTCTAAGAATAGAAAATTTACCACGGGGCTTTCCTTTTAAGCGTTTTATCGGAATCGGTGGACAAATGTGTCACCTTTAGGGCCAACAATGACCTCGATAATCAAGCGGAGGTTTTAACGGCGGCACTTTTTTCGAAGCATCGGCAAATCTCCTTCACTGACGGTTGAACTTTTGCAAACTTGATTGTTTGCTTATTTACAGATTCTGTGTAGAGAAGGCCATGGGAGGGAGAAAGGGAGGGAGGCAATGGTTAGACCTTCTAATAGGTGTTAAATCGACTTGTTCCCAAAGTAAGTGAAGGTCCGGCATATTGTTGGCCCACTGGCTTGCAGACCTTCACTCACCTCCGTGCCCGCTCCAAATTGCCAACAAAATTGAAATTTCTCTTAAATGTATTTTAGAAATGCCTGCCTCCAACTGTTTGTGACCACCATTTGATCTTTAAGGACAGAAGAGTGGGTTTATTCAATTTTTGTGATTTTACGTTGACAGCCATCCCATTTTAAAAACCAAAAAAGTAGAGCTAGAATGAATTGCAAATTGGGATGTTTTTTTGCATCACTTAGGTAGGGCAGTTTACCTACCTACCTCGATGTTGCTGACACACATACGTGACGCCTAATTAATCCCTATCTCGGCTCGAGATAAGTGGCAGGGGAGGATTTAGGATGACAAAAAATGGGATTGTAGACCATTCCTGATTTAAAATGACAGGCATTTCCGTGTTTTTGAGCAGTATGTGATGGTTTGCTCGTCCTTTGGATCGTAGCAGTAAATTGACCGAAAAAATAACCTCTGTGGAGCTAGTAGTCCCACAAAATATATCAAATGGGTTTTTTGCTCAATTTTGCCTTATCTTTTGATCCGAGCATACAGGAGTATTTACTTAGGAAGCAAGTAATTTATTCACTCCCAGACATACGGTGGCCACAAAACCAAAGTAATATCTTTTCTGCCCATAACATTTTTGGGCAAAACGCCTTTATAAATCTACCCCGGACTTGTGTAAATACGAAGAATTAGACAATAGGGAGAAATCGGTTGACCTTTTATAACGAAGGTCATACTATCAGGGTCAGTTTACTTGAGAATATTTCATTAATCTAAAATTGAGAAAGACCAGCAAACATTTTTATTGGAGAAGAAAATACTTTTACGTATTGCTTAGAAAAGTTAATCCAAAAGATCTTTTGAGAAAGGAAATAGGACACAAAAAATAATTTTGCTACATTCTGATAATCATTTTAGGCAAAAACAGGAAAGATAGGTCATGAAATTAAACAACAATACGGAAGGAATTTTCTGGACCCAAAACGCCAAGTCGCCCCTTTTGCGAAAAAGCGCACTTATTTGACGAAACGTCTTTCCGGAATCAGGTGGCAATGTCACCTTAGGAAGAAACTGTCAGAAGACGTCGATTACATGCCTAAGGGGTACTTATCTCTCTGATGCCAGGCAGGAGGTGGTCCTTTGGGAAGTGTGGAGATCACCTCCTGGGATAGCAAAAGGGATGCATTGGAGACCATGCGTGGGTGGAAGGCCTTCAACTTCTTTATGATGAGGAAGGCGACGGTGATACAGCCTGTCATTTAGTTTAAGCAAAGTACACTTTGACAAACAAAGGAAGCTCCAAATTAGCTTCGACAGCCTGTTTGATGGGATCTTCTGCCTGTTCAACCGTCCAGAGGGATTGCTGTCCTTCTCCAACCTTTAAATGCACTTTTTAACCATCAACACTGAAATTACCGCTTTGTTGTTTTGACAAGTAAAAATTTAAAAAAAATTGATCCTTTTCCAGCTCACATTGTCCTGAAAGAAGTAGTGATAATATCAGTCACTTCAAAAAGGGAGGCAAACAGAAGACTACAGGGCACTTCAGATTATCTAAACTGGTTTTAGTGGTGCAGTTTCCCATGCAAGATGGTACGTGAATCCCAAATGAGAGGAGGTTCCACAAAACAGGCGAAAAAGAAGGTTGGTTATGGTAAATTACGCATCTTTAAACTGCTGGAGCCACCTACTTAAAAGGTTTTTCAGTAGTGCTGTTGGTAAAAGCGGTCGAAGATTCGTAGGTGGAGACCTGTTCAAATGTACAGATTTTGAACAGATATTTTGATACTTTACCAAAGGTTGCCATTTTATAAATAATGACAAAATGAATAAAATAATGAATGGGTTTGTGAATGAGAAAATTTATGAAAGACAAAAGGCGGTTGTTTATGTTTTTCAGCGGCCAAAAGAATTTAGGCCAAAAACCTGTCATATTTGTGAGACCAATATGATTGACAAGGAAGATTTGAGCAAAGCGAATATATTTGCTGTAGATGGATTGCATGAGATGATTATAGAACTGCAGTACTAAGTTCTGTAATCGTCTCATAGAGCATGCTTTAGGATTTCATTTGCCGATGCGGTGCGCCATTTTGAGGGCTCTACGATTTCCTCACATCCTCATACCCCATATTAGCCAGCGAATGACATTTTAGTTGGTCTGTTTCACGAAACGAGTTTAATTTACTTCCATGGTATGCTCACTGGCTGCTCAAGCCACTCGTCCAGCTTGGCGCAAAGCAATTTGAGAGAGCGCGGTGAGGTCTGCGGTAGCAGAACGCATCACCCAAAACAAGGTTGCAAGACTCAGTTGTGGTGCCTGCTCATTCAAAGGCAAATGCTTCGCTTTCGCGATGACATTCCACTTTTTGATCAAGCAAATGTGGAGAATGACGCGTTGCTAATGGGTAGTGACTCCAAGTTAAGGTTCCGCAAAGGGGCGAGGAGAAACTCTTTGCAGTGATTGACATGTTTTGGGTCTTAAACCGATTGACATACACACTGGTATGGGTAAATGTTGTGGGGATAAAGCGAATGGGTACACAACTTAACTGGAATTGATGGACGTAAGACCAAACGACCAGCAAAAATGCATTTTCCACGTCATACCTCTGATTAAGTGGCTGAAAGACGGACAGGTGGAGAGACAGACAACTAACTGACTAACTTGCGAAAAGCAGTGGCCTTTTCTTTAATCCAGCAAACACATATAAGTGCCTAATCCCAAACGATCCACTCCCTACGGCAGACTTGAAAGGGAGATGGGTATCTCTTCCCTCCCAGACGACGATGCATGACTTCTCTGCGTGTGTGTGTGTTGAATTATTCACTTGCTTCAGGTCACGCGATGTCAAATCCGCACAAAGTAAACTTGTGAAACTGACTATCACCCGCCTTAGCACTAGGCAATCACTTGTGCCATAACATCGCCCCTTGGGATTTGAATAAATGATGAAGGCACATGCGACTGGATAAAGACGAATCATGGCATAAATGTGGAATCCACGGTGAGTTTTCGTTTCACTCTTGGCAAAGGACTCAAATATGCCTTGAAGCAATCTGCACAACCCTTCTCGTTACCCCAATTCTGCCTCTTAAAACCTTGGCTTACGGCTAACAGTGCTGAGACCGTGTCTTTCAATCAAACAACCCTCTAATTTGTAAAAAGAGAAATTTCTATTACGAAAGAGCCTAAAAATTATCAAGTAACAAAGTAAGAAGGTGATCGAATGAAGCAATTTATCCCTCCCTTTCACCTCTCTCCTAGCCGTCCCTCGCTACTCCCTTTCCTCCCCCCCCCTCGCTGTTCACAAAGTGACGGATTAAATTAGTAAGTTTGCCTGTTCTTTATCAAATTGGCTCTACAGATACAGACGGATTGGAAATTTTAGATCTGTAGCATTGTAAATTATACTCGCAAAAAATTTTTCCATTATAATGAAGTAGGTAGCACAAAGTTGATTAATTTTTGATAATTCTAGTCCGCCAGCTCAATGGTTTGAAAACGAAGAGTGTTTACAGGTGACATGTCACCCACACAAAAGGGGATCCGGTGGTACAACAGCCGATGCTTATGTGCTGAGGATGTCTTTTATCCCCAAAAGACGTGTCTTTTTCTCTTTTTTAGGCGCCTTGAATGTCTGTTTCTACTTGCCGAGTAGTCTAGAACATCTTGAAGCTTGCGGTGAGATTTTACGCGCGCTACCGTTCACTGTGAGGCTTCCGACAAGCAAAATCACCCAACTTGATGCAAATGGGCAGTTGCGTACGCTCACATACTCATAGGCAAAAGACGACTTCCTTTTTGAAGTCGTTACATCCTGATTACTCGGAGGTGGAAACTCAACGGTTTTCAAGCACACGCACCTATAAAAAAGGTTATAAGAGCACGCCTTGCACAGATCTTTGTGAAGATTTTTTTTGTTGTTGGCGGTTGACAGTGAGGATGAATTCTATGGAGTTCATTGGGTTTGATGATTGGAAGCGAGGGTCTCGGGTGGGCTGCTGGCTCACCCAGCTGTATAAAGTGGATCTGTCACTGACGGCCTTGGTGGTGATAGGTGGTTAACCTTGGTGAACACTCAACGGTTAGACTGTCTGGTAGTGGCTTAGTGACACCTAGGGCGCCGCACACACATTGCAGGAGTTTGACGCGGAATCAGAAGACCACAAGACAACCAAAATGAGAAATCCTGCATGCAGTGAATGACCCGATGGACTAACCATAACAGAGGTGGTATCTTGAAGGTATAAGATGTCAATACTGCAGAAGAAGAAGAAGAGACGGTGTTTCTTGACTGGAGTGACGGAGGGTTGAAATCGAGATGTCAAAGACTGGCTGACAAATTAGGGGGTCATAGTCTTGCAAGACAGTACAGGGTATCTTACCTCCGACTGTACCTCGGAATGGAAGAAAGGGAGGAGGAGATGGGAACAAATAGTATCTTATCGCATTCTTATCTCCTGTGTACCCTAAAGTGTCCCGCCAAGTGATGCTTATCACCTTGTCTTGACATTTGACAATCCCAAGTCGATGGGAATAGCCAATTTAGAAAGGCGAGAGCTGAGATGTGCCTGATCCAGAGACAAAATACTCGGCAGGAGTGGAAAATCCACCTGGGTTGCATCCCGTGGAAAAAGGGCTAGAGGGATTGTAACGAAGAAAGTGCCTTGCAAGACTTCACCAAAATACCTGTTCACCTTCCCTCTTTTCAAATAATGATATGAAAAATTAAAGAAAAAAATTAGAAACACGTGATATGGATGGTTTTTCGCCGTCTTTGTGATTGGATGCACCATCAACTGTAGCTGACGCTGAAATGATCGTCATTTTCACAGCACTTATTTCGTCTAGGCCCAACTTTTAGCTTCTCTTGGAAAATTTCGCGGACGATAGTCTTATCAGTAATTAAAAAATTTACTGCTTTCTACAAAAGCGTGTATCATCTAGTCCTCTTTTGGGAGAAGAAAAGGGCTCTTTACTACCCAAAAATACTCCTCGCCCTTCAATTTTATCCTTGGGGTTGTAGCTGCATTTCAAAGGATCGCGTAGATAGGAGTATGGAGGTACAGAAAGTAAATTTGATGGCTCATTTTGCCTCACACCTACACACACAAACAGTAGATTCGGGAACCTATAGCTCAACCGTCCCGTCGGTCGGTCGGTCGGTCGGTCGGTTGGCTGGCTGGCTTGGGACTGCAAATTTAGAAATGCAGCCTTCTGAAGTGCCCTTATGCTGGTTTAATGTTCACTCCACTTAGTCAAACTGGTTATTTTAGAAAAAGAATTAACCGTATTTAGTCCCCTCTCCCATGTAACAAAGCGCCGCCAGTGTCCGCTGAATATCAGGGCTAGCCATTGATGATTTTGACATTTCGGTGGGTCATATTGTTCCCTACAAAAGGGAGGAGTTCAGTAAACAAATGTGGGGGACAAAAATCTCGTCCAGAAAGTGGGGCTACAGAGAACAAAAGAGCGACTTTTGGGGTTTTCGTCTCCTCATCTCAATAACCAGAAATGGTGTCAGTGCTGACTCACTCAGTTGGAGTGCTATAAGATGTCACCTTGACAGAGGAATGACACACACACACGTACGCACGCACGCATATCTTGACAACTTTTGTAGGTGTGAGCATTTTAAAATAGTAGCATTACACCTTTCACCGCTGTTGACATGTTGATACTCCAGTTTAGGTAATGAGCTGCCCTAAGTGTAATGATGCCTTCCACGGCCGTCTAACTGAGACGGCATTTCAGACAACGCGGGCCAACTTAAGCTGGAGGAGTAAGCTGACAGGTTCAACTTTAATGAAAAGACTCCGTAAACAGGCCTCAAGTGGACAAAGAGACCAGACGGTGGCTTTGTTGTACAAAATCTCCCCTCCTCCTCCTCCTCC